ATATTTAAACCAATAACTTAAAAAAATAAAAAGAAAAATTTGTAAAAGTATATATATTATATAACGTAAATATTATAAAGTATTATTCAAAATTATATTAAAATAATATTCCGAAATGAGTAATATAAATATTTTTAAATAGTTAACATGAACAACATGAACTTTACTATAATTGCCTTATAATTTTTGAAAAATCAATAAATATTTACTTGTGGAATGGAACTAAAAACTAAAGGTTGTAGACAAGTTAACATTTGGTTCTGCAATTTTTAGAGGCTGATAGGAGAAATGTAGAAACATTATATTGTCACAGAATTCAAGAAATTGAATCATCTGCAATTTGTATTGCTACTCACTCACAGCTGCAGCTCAGTTTAAAGTTTAGTTGGAGTTCGGTGACCTATCAAGCCAATAGTATCGACTATTGCCCTTGTGTTTTGATATACATATGTAATACTTAAGCTAATCGCATACATTTGAGCATAAAGTATTCTCTCTAACTATCAGCAGCAGTAAAATGGTCGAGGGTCAGACAGCGGTTCAACAGCAGCAGCAGCAGCAGCAGCAATCATCGGGCACTGGCAGCTCTAGTGCTGGCACTGGCGGTGGCACGGCTGGTGGCGCCTCCGCTGGCGCTGGTGTGGCCAACAGTCAAGCGCAGCAGAATGGTGGCTCAACGGCCACGGCAACTGCTGTGGCTGCGGCTGCTGCTCCGGCAGCAACAACCAATAACAATGCGGCAGCCAACACCAACAGCAACAACAACAACAATAACAATGCAGCCACAAACAACAACAACAATAATAATAACAACAACAATAACAATAATAACAACAACAACAATGAACCGGATCCAAAAACCAATTTGATTGTGAACTACTTGCCACAGACGATGTCACAGGACGAAATCCGTTCATTGTTCGTCAGCTTTGGAGAGGTGGAGAGCTGCAAGCTGATACGTGATAAGGTGACAGGTGCGTATGCCCAACAATTAACAATTCACAGTTGACAATTGACAATTCACAATAATTAAACATTGCTTTCAATTAGGCCAAAGTCTGGGCTACGGCTTTGTCAACTACGTGAAGCAAGAGGATGCGGAGAAGGCTATTAATGCATTGAATGGTCTACGTCTGCAAAACAAAACCATCAAGGTGCGATAGATAATTACAGATGACTGAGTATAATCTCGATAAAGTTATTCATTTGAATTTCCCTCTATCAGAAATCTTGTTAAAGTGTATAACTAATAATTCGATTTACCCCTTCCTAGGTCTCCATTGCGCGTCCCAGCTCGGAGAGCATTAAGGGCGCCAATCTCTATGTATCGGGTCTTCCAAAGAATATGACACAGTCCGATTTGGAATCGTTGTTCAGTCCATACGGCAAGATCATAACTTCGCGCATACTTTGTGATAATATCACTGGTAAGCTATAATCCCATCGATAAACTATAAACTAAAGGCATGTTTTAGGCATGTCCTCTAGCTAAGAAAACTTGTTCACTCCTTATAAGCCAAGTACTTATGTTTTTCTTTATGCAGATTTTTGTCAACAAGGGTGTTTTAAATTGTTGATAAAACTGAATTTAAATTAATTAATTATTTAATTAATTTAATTATATAAATGCCATTCTATGAAGCATGTTTAAATTATATTAAATATAAAAATAAATGAATATTTTGCTAAACTTTTTTTTTATAATTTAGTTAAATATTTCTTTTAAATAATGTAAACTATTTTTTTCCAATTTATTTTTTTCATGTATTTATTGAACTACCCCATCAAAAATATATCTATATATATTTCGATCAAAAACTATATCAGATGAACATGCGGCGGGTAGGTTTTAATCTTTTGTTTAGCTGTTTAATTCGCAATTCATTAAATTCTCATTTTCACATTGCATGGATTCATTTAATTAAATCAAATTAAATTAATTTATATTTCTTTTGAAATTGAATTATGGTTTTGAAGCTTAGACAAAAATTTGTTAATTTATTTAATACATAAAAAATTAAACAAAAATGCTCAGGGCTGCATTAGCAGAGATTGATTATCTCTAAAGAAAAAAGCTCCCGTTATATTTAAAATTAAAGTCAGGCCCAAATTATAAATAAATGAATATGGTTGAAGATTATTGTTTTGTTTTATTGTATTTATTATTAATATTTCCAAAAAAAAATAATATCAAATGATGATTAGTGCAGCTTTATATTGAAATAGGAAAAATTAACTAAAAAAATTAGTTTTTTCGTATTCTATTAAAATACATCAATATATATTTATGGTCAAGAAATTTAAAAGTTAATCAGCATGAACATAAAATTATAAATCAGTCAAATATTCAATTATCATGCTTATAATGAAAAACGGTACTTTCCAGTTGAGCATAAAACCAATTGTATTTATTGTATTATTCTAATTAAGCATCGCCTAACTATTGTATTTCATTATTTTTATTATTTGTTATTTTTAAATTTGTTTATTAATGATTATGTTTTTATTTTCCCCACCTAAAACAATTATCAACGACAAAATACCCGCACCACATAGAATCGCATGCTGAGCACCTAGATCGTATGTATACCTAATATTTTGTTAACATTTATGATTTCTTTGGCCAATTCATATGCCTTGTTGTGCTAGCTATGACAACTGAATTATAGTAAAATATGTAAATTATTTGTAGCTAATTTGTTTATATTTATGTTTTATTTAGGTCTCTCCAAGGGCGTTGGCTTTATACGCTTCGATCAGCGCTTCGAGGCTGATCGCGCCATCAAGGAGCTAAACGGCACCACACCGAAAAATTCCACCGAACCGATAACCGTTAAGTTTGCCAACAATCCCAGCAGCAACAAGAACAGCATGCAACCGCTGGCCGCCTACATTGCGCCACAGAATACGCGCGGCGGACGCGCTTTTCCAGCGAACGCGGCCGCCGGTGCCGCAGCGGCAGCCGCTGCTGCTGCCATTCATCCCAACGCGGGCCGTTACAGGTTAGCTGGGCAAGTAGCGAAAGCAGCTCATTGTGGGACAGATGGGAGATAACTATTTAGGCAGGATTCTTAAGATCGACAGAGATTTAGGAGTGGAATATTGCTGAGGCTTGGGGTATCTTCATGATCTTTGAATATTTAAGTGAATATGTAGGATATTAATATGGAACAAGTGGAATGTAAAATCGATTTAAGAAATATTTTTTATAATTTCACTAACTAGTGAATGAAACTTAGATAGAGAAAACTTAATAGCTAATTCACTCAAATATAGAAAAACTGATTAAATATATTGGAATAGAGAAGCGATTGGCTTGTTCCCAGGGGGCGTTCAGAATTCAGCCCTAACAAATTACACGACCGTTCGTTCGCCTCGAGTTTCAAATTTAAAGTGCTTTTATTGCAGTACGCAACGAGAGCATCATGTACGTGCATGCTCTCACAACTTCATTGACTCACTGCTCTCTATTACAAAACGCTCTTATATTACATATATACAAAGGCATATTTGAAATGTCTTAGCAGATATTCTAGGGCAGAGTTGCTACTTTTCGCCTTTCAAGGTAGTAAGAAGAAATCAGCACAAATTGATCTGCATAAATATTGTAAGGAATTCTGAGCTATGAAAACTGAAATATTAAAGCTTTATATGTTTTAGAAATGTGTATTAAATCGGAGTATCTGACTGCTAAATGGAGTATAAGGGAAGTGTATGAAGTATAAAGAAAATTATTGAATCGAAAACGTGATTATGTACACGACGACTTATTTAGATTAGAAGTGAAGTGATTTTTTAAACAACATTTAATTCTTAATCGCTAACAGAGTATTCTGATAACTTGCAGCTTTAGTCTACTCATATGTAAGATCTGCTGAGATGCTTATTTAGGATAACTTATGTTATGATATATATACATATGATTTATTGTATGAGATGACAGTTGGCTTATATTATGTTGCATGATTTAAGTTTGATGTTCCACTCCGAGCATAAGGAGAAATGTGGGTCTTAAATTAGCACAAAGGCAGACTGTATTAATAGTGAAATATCATTACTTAGTATACAGACAATCAATAGCATTCATTAATAATAATAATTTCTACTCCAACTCACCGTCACAGTAATATCATTATACAGAAGGCAGTGTTACATTCTGTATAAAAAAGTCTGGTATATACAAAAGTTGAGAGACTGTGGAGAAGTCCACTTTTCGAGAGCTTTGACTCTATGCCGCATACTCAAAATAGCCCAAGGCAGTATTAAATTTCCCTGAGAACATTTCCCTTTACCCATATGCTTGTCGTACCTATAAAGAAAAACTTTGCTAATTTGATTTCCTCTCTTTCTGCTACAGCTCTGTGATCTCACGCTATTCGCCGCTCACCAGTGATCTAATTACCAATGGCATGATACAGGGCAATACCATAACTAGCTCCGGCTGGTGCATTTTCGTCTACAATCTGGCGCCCGAAACCGAAGAGAATGTGCTCTGGCAGCTGTTCGGTCCATTTGGGGCTGTGCAGTCGGTCAAGGTGCGTATTTTAGTTAGTGCATATGAGCTTTGTTAATGCTAATGCTTTGCAGGTAATACGCGACTTGCAGAGCAACAAGTGCAAGGGCTTTGGCTTTGTCACCATGACCAACTATGAGGAGGCGGTGCTGGCCATACAATCGCTCAATGGCTACACGCTGGGCAATCGGGTACTTCAGGTCAGCTTCAAGACGAACAAAAATAAGCAAACGTAATTATTAACCAAGTTGGCTGCTGTTGTCAATGCCAATGCGGCGGCAGCGGCGCTAGCTGCCAATCGTTTGGTGCTCAATCAAAGCCACAACAACAACAACAACAACCACATCATGAACAACATCAACCATAAAAGCAACAGCCACCACTCATTTGGCAAATATGCTAATCACAGCAGCAACAACAACAACAACAGACAGCACAACAGCAATAACAAACAGAAACAGCAGACAACTTCAAGCAGTAACAACAAAAACTCGCTGGCAACAACAACAAAATCGAATGCAGCAACAACCACAGCGAGCAATCGTCACAGCAAACCGCCCACAAATAGCAACAACAACAGCAACATGACATCTATTAGCAACAACAGTAAGAGCACCACCTGCCATGCCACGCCCCATAGCGAAAGCGGCGCCAGCTCGACCAGCAACAGCAACATATTGAAAACCTCGACGAAATTCATCTACAATAAGCCGCAGAATCATTTCGAATTGCTGCAACAGCAGCTGCAGCTGCAGCAGGAGTTTGCCCAGTTTCTTACCAATGTGGCTAATAGTGCAGCTGGAGCCGGTATCGCTGCCACGCCCAACACACACAACAACAGCAACAACCATAACAGCAGTAGTCACAGCAACAGCAACAACAACCACAGTACCAGCAGCAGCAACAACGCAGCCAGCGGTTCACATGCAACGCGGAATGCGACAAACAGCTCAACATTGAGCAGCGCAGCAGCAACAGTTGGCAACAACAAGAGCAATCACAGCCATAACAAGAACAACAACAACAACTATCAGTCCTCATTTATGCCATCTTGGTCAAATTGGTTTTTCTAATTGAAGCCGATACTCACCGTCTGCCCTTTTACATTTTGAACTATCCTCTTGTTGGTTTGAATTTGTTCTAATACGTTTTTTTTTTAAACCTGAGCCCCTTGACAATGGGAAATCAGCCTGTAACTTTTTTTTTTAACATTATATTATGTTTATATTGAAACTATATATTTCCTTATTTATAGAATTTTTTATATTTACTTTTACGAAAGTATATATATTTTTTTGGTATAAAACAAAATCACATTTTTTGTATTTTCCTTATATGGAAACTTATATAAGGAAACTTTAATATTTACTTTTACGAAAGTATATATATATTTTTTTTTGAGTTGAATTTAAATTTAAAATTTGTTAAAAAACAATGAAAGTTGTTTTTACTTAATTTTAAAAATTTTTTAATTTTGTTTTGTTTATTTTGAATCTGTTAAACTGTTTTTTTTTTTCTGCATATATAACTTAATTTGAAAATTCATTCAATTTGGTTTTATTTTTTTCAAAAAAAAAAAAAAACTCTCTTCATTTAATATTTCCTTTGACTATCCCGGATTCATTTGCCTTAACAGCAAATCTCTAGTCGCTACCAAAACATAAAAAAAAGAGAATGAAACTTATGGTTAAGTTTTTGTTGGAAGAGAAAAGAACATATTCTAGAAATAGTTGAAGAGCTTTGGCATAATGAAATCTAGAAGAAGGCCAAACCACCAAAACTTGTCAAAGAAATGAATTAATTAAGCTTATTGATAATTGTATAAAATGATAATAATAAAATGAAACAGAACTGAATGAAATTGCAACGTTTGGCATATGCTCGAAAGCATATGAGGTTGGACATGTGTTTATA